TTTATTATATTTAAATTTAGTATTAAATTTAAAAATATATATATTTGTAACAACTAGAACTCTTAATCTTCCTTCTCTAAGCCCATAAAAAACTACAAACCTCAAATCTCCAAGCCTCAAAAGTAAGTGTTTTGGTTGATGCTATTTTCTAATTTACGGAATCTCTCATTCTACAAAACTAAAATCTTCAACCCGAAAAGTAAATGTCTTTGTTGATGATATTTCTAATTCATGGAGGCTCTCACTCATGTTATTTATCTAAATCAAGTCAATAAACTAACATTTGGTTTATTTATATTTATATCACTTTTACATATAGTTTTGTTTTGTTTTAATATATTTGAGATGCCTAACTAATATTTGTTTTTTTATCACAAATTTTAAGTTAATTTTCCATCATATTCTTTAACTTTGAAAAAGAATTAGAAGAAGAAGAAGAAAAATTCCCTTTGTGGTATTTTTTTTAGTTTAATATAATTTTATTAAAAGAATATGTGATTGATTTTTATTGAAAATATTTGTATTAAAACTTTAGATGTTTTTGCAGTTTTAGTTGATGTTGGGACTCCACAAAAAAGGCAAGTAAATGGTAGTAATATTACTTACATGGAGTTACATATTGAAGAACAAAGGTAATTAATATTAGTGTTATTACATGATATCTATTTGAATTTCATTTTTTTTATTGCAAAAAATGATATTTGATCAATTAATTGTAAATAGTTGTTTGATATTATTTTAAATTTATTGAATAAAAACTACTTAAGCATAACACTCTTTGGTCTTTCATGGTAAATCAATTTAAGTAAATTAGATTTTTTAATAATTAAAATTAGATTTTGTTTTGAATAATGCATTGGTTAATTCATCTTTATAGACAATACCTATCAAATAAAATATGCTTCATTTCAATTTTTTGTAGCACATATTTTGAAATTGATATTAATAGTAATAATAAAAAATAATAATACTAATAACAACAATAATAATTAAATGGAAGTAACATACATGTTCCTCTAATTATTTGATATATAATAAACTAATATATTTATTATTATTTTTCATTAAATATATATTAAACCAAAAGAAAAAAAGGGGATGCGCCTTTTAGTTTTCCCCTTATCTGAAAAGATAAGTTTACACAAGTATATTAAACATTTTTAACATTACATGTGTTATTATTAAATAGAAAGCTAAAATAAAGAAGACATGAGAGTCTAATTATTATTATGAAAATGCAATAAATTATGAAAAT